GATTTAGGTAAGATGCCAGTTATTTCCTCTAGAATTTCAGTTAATGGATCGCTTCTTGTTCTGAAATAAAAGTAACCATTTTCCATGACGGGAAAGCGCGCTGTAGGTAATTTATGAGAAGCCTGGACTGACCTGGTGTTGGTGAAGCATATACAAAGGAGTCTGGGGGTTAACACGACACCTTTTTGGCCATGAAACTCTTGTAAAACTCTGAAGACGCCCATGGAAGAATAGACCTTGGCTCTCTTATTTTTAGCTGTTTCTTAATTAGGTTCCATTAATCTAGTTGGTGGATCATATGTGGGCTCTGTTTGCACTATCGGCAGCTACTTTTCGCACGTAGAACACTGTCAAAGATCAAAGCAGCCCAATGAAGCACAGGGTGCGTGTCTAACGTCTAAGGCATTGTTCGTGTGCTACAGACCAGTCCTTTTTCTTGCAGGATATTATGCAGGAGATTGAAGCAGATTTACAATCTTTAGCTAATGTGTTAGCGTTCATAGTAAACGACAATTGTGGAAACAGATAAACCTCTCATAACATTTAGCTTACAAATCTTTGGTTATATCACAATTGTATACCTACTTTATATAGAGAGATACAGCAGGAAGACATTTTTTAAAGCCAAAGTGCTGAAAGCCAGGAGTGATCTTAATGAAGATTAAGAATTTCAGATGCTAAGGCCCGTGAATTCGACAGTTAGCTTCCAAAAAATCAGGGCTCTGATGACTAACCTTTAGGACAAGATAGGATGAATTTCTACTATGTATGATACTAAGTAAATGCACCTTCAGAGGCCACAGCGCCACAACGGATATGTTCCTGTTGAGCTGCCGTTGTTCATCAACAATGGCAGTACGGGAGCTCATTCATTTTTTTATTGAAATCATCCTTTTTGGAATTATTATGGATCCTTAATCTACTTAAGGGGAAACGCCATGGCACTCCTAGCGCGTATATGGGCATGGGCCTTTTACTTGGAAGAAAACGGTATCGTACAGCAATTCAACCAACTAGGCACGAACTGTAACTAGAGGCTGAGTGCAACATCCACAATCAATGTAATGCTCTTATTCACATAATGCAATGGCAGCTCCCTGGACAGAGGTTTTGGATGCATAACATTTGTATATTATTATCATTATTATTATCAGTTTAGTTTATTCCATTTGTTACAATAGTTATTATGTTTGATGTGATAGGCTATTTATTTTTACCTCTAAATTATCCTCCAACAATCTGACTGACGCAGGTTAGCCAGATTTCTAGACAAGAACACTACCACTGCATCAAACTAGAGTGACTGTCATTCCAGCTGAGTTGTGGTTTCACTACCAACATGCCATTTGTCACAAATGTATTAATCAATTCCTGGAGCCAACGCCGACGGGGTCGCATAGCCGCGTCCACCCTCCGCTTCCAGCCATTAGAGTCCCTCATGGCGAGCCACAAGACAGGCCCTCGGTCCATCCCTAGCTCTGGTCTCGTCAATCGGCCCAGGACACGACTTCCTTCTGTC